GTGTAGTTCAGATGAAACATCTGGTGATGTGTAGTTCAGATGAAACATCTGGTAAAGTGTAGTTCAGATGAAACACCTGGTGATGTGTAGTTCAGGTGAAAGTGATGTGTAGGTTTAGGGTTTTGTTCTTACTCAGATCATCATTGTTATGCAGTTTCTTCTTATCTGCACGTTACCTGTTACCTGTTTCCTGTTTCATGTTACCTGCATGTTACCTGTTACCTGTTACCTTTTACCGTTCTGCAGGACCTTCTGCCTTTTGGAATCTTGATTTCTTTAATCTTTTGAAAATAAATCACAGAATTCTTCCTGCTGCCTCACCTGTCTGTCTCATGAGACATGTGAAGTGAGATCTCTGTGACTACATCCCAACATTGTATACCAGTGACATCATCAGTGGCATCACTGTGGTCCTGCAGGACTAAAATCAGGCCAGATTTAACTGAACTGAAGCCACTTTGGCTGTGATTGGCTGAAAACTGCTGGAACGCTTCCCACCTCTTCTACCCACAGGAAATACTTCTCTGTTTATTTTCTTTTTCGGTGGTCGACTCACATTCCTCACACACACACACACACACACACACACCCACACCCACACACACTCACACACACACACACACACACACACACACACAGTCACACACACAGGTCTGTTATAACCATCAGACTGAAATTGTTTAACAGTCTGTTTGTTTCTGTGACGTTAAACCGACTGCAGACGGATTTCAGAATAAAAGACCTTCAGTGAATCTGAAACTTTCTGTAGTTGTTGCTTTAATAACAGTCACATATAAACTGACTTTAAATTAAAACATTACCCATAATTCTCGGCCTGGTAAACAGACCTCATCTGTCATCACTTCATCAGAAGTTATTTAAATAAAGATTTTAATCCTCACTGATCCACAATTATTAGTGTTTAGACTTTCATAAACATTTTCACTGGAGTCAAAAAACACATGTGTTAAAGGGGCGGTTTAACAGCAATCTAACAGCGCCATAAACTACATTTATATAAGCTCAGATGAGACTTTTATTTTGAAATCTCTCCTGTGTTGTTGGTCAGGATCAGCGGACATGAAGCCTCCCAGAGCACCAACAGGACATCTCAACCTGCTGCACTTCCTGTTGGGTGGGTAACATGTTACCTTTACAGGTGGACTGATGTGGGTGCCTGTCTGTCTGTCTGACGCCTGTCTGACTGTCTGTCTGTAGGTGTGTTCCTGATTGTTTATGAAGGGGGCGTCGGCCTGGAGCTGCAGCCATCAACCAATCAAGTTCTGCTCAACTCAACCTCCAACTTCACTGTGGTCAGTAAACACCTGTCTGTCTCTACAGGTGTGTTTAGGTTGGAATAGGTTACCTGTCTGTCTCTGCATGTGTTTAGGATGGGGTAAGGTACAGTACCTGTCTCTCTCTACAGGAGTGTTTGGGGTGGAGTAAGTTACCTGTATGTCTCTGCATGTGTGTTTAGAGTGGAGTAGGTTACTTGTCTGTCTCTACAGGTGTGTTTAGGGTGGAGTAAGGTACCTGTCTTTCTCCACAGGTGTGTTCGGGGTGGAGTCATGTGACGTGGCGGCTACCTCACGACTCTCAGGTGGACGGAGTTGTTATTGAGAACCAGGGGTCCAGCAGCGTCCTGCAGCTCTTTAACGCCACCTGGAGGAATTCTGGGAGATACACCTGTGAGGAGGTGTCGTCCTATCAGAGCAGAGCATTGGACATATTCATACCTGGTCAGGGTGAATATGACATTTATAACATTTACAACGGAGGGATCATGGCCATCCTACCTGTGTACCTCCTGATCCTACCTGTGTACCTCCTGACTCTACCTGTGTACCTCCCGATCCTACCTGTGTACCTCCCGATCCTACCTGTGTTTCTCCCGATCCTACCTGTGTACCTACCGATCCTACCTGTGTACCTCCTGATCCGACTTGTGTACCTATTGACTCTACCTTCTCCCCCCTCAGGTCCGGAGGAATGGTTCGTTCCACTGGGTCCAGGTGTGGTGATGAAGGAGGCGGAGGAAGATACTATCCCCTGCGTGGTGTCCGACCCGCGACTCAACATCTCGCTGTACGAACGTCCCGGCAGGACGCCGGTTACAGTGACGACGTATGAGCCGGGCCGTGGCTTCACTGGACGTCTGAACGACTCGTCGTACGTCTGCTCGGCCACCCGTGGAGACGAAGAGCGAGAGTCTCAGGTGTACTACGTGTTCAGCATCGTAGGTGAGCTCATCGAATTAAGATTAATAGAGATTATATTATTATAGATTATATTGTTCCATCCATCCATCCATTTTCCACCGCTTATCCGGGGTCGGGTCGCGGTGGCAGCAGGCCAAGCAGGCCGACCCAGACCTCCCTCTCACCGGCAACATTCTGGGGGATCCCGAGGCGTTCCCAGGCCAGCTGGGAGATGTAATCTCTCCAGCGTGTTCTGGGTCTTCCCCGGGGTCTCTTCCCAGTTGGACATGCCTGGAAAACCTCCAGTGGGAGGCGTCCAGGAGGCATCCTACTTAGATGCCCGAACCACCTCAGCTGACTCCTTTCGACACTAAGGAGTAGCAGCTCGACTCCAAGTTCCCTCCTGATGACCGAGCTCCTTACCCTATCTCTAAGGCTGAGCCCGGCCACCCTACGGAGGAAACTCATTTCGGCCGCTTGTAGCTGCAACCTTGTCCTTTCGGTCACAACCCAGAGTTCGTGACCATAGGTGAGGGTAGGAACGTAGACCGAGTGGTAAATTGAGAGCTTTGCCTTCCGGCTCAGCTCCCTCTTCACCAAGACGGTCCGGTGCAGCACCTGCTTTACTGCTGCAGCCGCACCGATCCGCCTGTCGATCTCCCGCTCCATCTTACCCTCACTCGTGAACAAGACCCCGAGATACTTAAACTCCTTCGCTCGAGGTCGGCACTCCGTCCCCACCTGGAGGGAGCAATCCACTGGTTTCCGGCAGAGAACCATGGCCTCAGATTTGGAGGTGCTAACTCTCATCCCCGCCGCTTCACACTTGGCTGCAAACCGCCCCAGTGAATGCTGGAGGTCATGATCCGAGGAGGCTAACAGGACCACATCATCTGCAAATAGCAGAGAGGCGATCTCGAGACCCCCGAAACTGAAGTTCTCCACCCCCAGGCTGCGCCTAGATATCCTGTCCATGAAAATCACGAACAGGACCGGTGACAAAGGGCAGCCCTGGCGGAGGCCAACACCCACTGGGAACGTGTCTGACTTATTGCCGAGAATGCGGACACAGCTCCTACTGCAGTCGTACAGAGACCGGATGGCCCGTTGTAACAGGTCCGGCACCCCATACTCCCGCAGCACCCCCCAAAAGACCCCCCGAGGGACCCGGTCGAAAGCCTTCTCCAAGTCCACAAAGCACATGTAGACTGGTTGGGCAAACTCCCAGAGCCCCTCCAGTAATCTTGCGAGGGTAAAGAGCTGGTCCACTGACCACCGCAGCTGCAGCCCTTCTGGCCTGCTGGTACCTGTCAGCTGCTTCAGGAGACCCCTGGGCCAACCAGGCCTTGAAGGTCTCCTTCTTCAGCTTGACGGCTTCCCTCACCTCCGGTGTCCACCACCGGGTTCTCGGGTTGCCGCCACGACAGGCACCGATGACCTTCCGGCCACAGCTCCTAGCGGCCGCGTCCACAATAGAGGCTTTGAACATGGTCCACTCGGATTCCGTGTCCCCAACCCCCCTCGGGATGTGTGAGAAGTTCTTCCGGAGGTGGGAGTTAAAGACCTCCTGGACAGGGTCCTCCGCCAGACGTTCCCAGTTTACCCTCACTACACGTTTGGGTTTGCGGGTCTTTCCAACCGGTTCCCCTGCCATCTGATCCAACTCACCACCAGGTGGTGATCAGTTGACAGCTCTGCTCCTCTCTTCACCCGAGTGTCCAAGACATACGGCCGCAAATCAAATGATACGATTACAAAGTCGATCATTGATCTCCGGCCTAAGGTGTTCTGGTACCAGGTACACTTATGAGCCACCTTATGTTCGAACATAGTATTCGTTATGACCAAACCGTGGCAAGCACAGAAGTCCAATAACGAAACACCATTCGGGTTCAGATCGGGCAAGCCGTTCGTCCCAATCACACCCCGCCAGGTTTCTCCGTCATTGCCCACGTGAGCGTTGAAGTCCCCCAGTAGAACTATGGAGTCGGTAGGCGACGCCCTTTCCAGGACCCCTCCCACCGACTCCAAGAAGGCCGGATACTCCGAACTGCTGTTTGGTGCATAAGCACAAACCACAGTCAGAGCCTTGCTCCCCGCAACCCATAGGCGCATGGAGGCGACCCTCTCGCTCTCCGGGGAGAACTCCAACACAGCGGCGCTCAGCTGGGGGCTCGTGAGTATCCCCACTCCCGCCCGGCGCCTCTCACCCTGGGCAACTCCGGAAAAGGACAAAGTCCAACCCTTCTCCAGGAGCTTGGTTCCAGAGCCAACACTGTGTGTGGAGGTGAGTCCAACTATTTCTAGCTGGTATCGCTCCACCTCCTGCACCAGCTCCGGCTCTTTCCCCACTAGCGAGGTGACGTTCCACGTCCCTAGAGCTAGTCTATGCCGCCGGCGATCGGCATGCCCGGGCCTCCCGCCCGACCCGCCGCCTGGTCTGCATAGCACCCGACCCCGATGCTTGTCCCTGCGGGTGGTGGGTCCACAGGGTGGCTGCTCCATGGTGTTTATTCGGGCTGAGCCCGACCAGGCCCCATGGGCAAAGGCCCGGCCACCAGACGCTCGCCTACGAGCTCCCCTCCTGGGTCTGGCTCTGGGAGGGTTCCCCGGTTTCCCTGGTCCGGGCGAGGTGGCTATAGTCCGTGGGCTAACTATCATAGGGGTCGTTTTGAACCGCTCTTAGTCTGGGCTCTCCCCTGAAACCTGTTTGCCTTGGGAGACCCTACCAGGGGCTTATGCCCCGGACAACATAGCTCCCAGGATCACTGAGCCACTCAAACTCCTCCACCACGATAAGGTGGCGATTCGCGAAGGATTATATTGTTATAGATTATATTATTCAGTGTGGCTTTGTAGCACAAAGGCCGTAAAACTGCTTCTGCAAAAGCACACTGACCTTATTCTCCATCTTCCACCTAAAAGTTTGGCGCGCTTCTCCTCACACAGCGTTCCCAACACCTGTGCAAAAAATACATCAAAACATGCGGCCAGGGCCCCGTTCCTCGTACATGGTTCAACTAAGTTGATCAAATGTCCTATTAGCCAGCCTAAATTAACGAAATGATTGATGTCAGACTATCTCGGTTTCTCCAAGGCTGATCCTCTCAAACACTCTCGTTAATTGGAACCAGACGATCAGGATCAGGATAATTGCGTGTGCCCGTCCTGCTTCAAAAGGGGGAAGCGTCGATCACCGAAACCATGATTTTCTAACAGTACAATGTTAAATAAACTCAAAGAAAGAGCCTCTTTTTACTCCGCTGACGAGCAGGAGATGATCATGAACGCATATGAGGTATTCAAGACCGTAATCACGGCAAAGTCTAACACTGCCACCACTGCGAGGGCTAGACAAGAAGCATGACAAAATATCACAGACAAGTTAAATGCGTAAGTGTTGTAAATGTATTGGCTCATTTTAAGTGCCTCATCACCCCAATCAATCAGATGATATGTCTTTAAATGTGCCTGCTGGCAGTAGGCTTAATGGAATGCATTATCCAATGAGATCTATAACGAAAATAATGATCTCAACTCTTTCAGACTAAGTAGATAAAACAAGCCCAAAGAGTATCTAACTGATACTCATTAATATTTGGATATATGTACTGTATGCCCTTATGTATCATGTACTATATATGTGTATATACATGTATGTGTAGATTACCATATAGAACTAGCAGTTTGAATGTGTGCGAATCTGTGTATGGGCGGATCAGTGTGTATGTGTGTATGTATGTATTATTCATAATCAGAAATTCAATCAATTGAAGCAGTGAAGATAAATAGTGTGTGATTCTCTCTATTCTTATCATGAGTCCACCTTCATCATGTTCTACAGTAATGATATGCTGGTGTACTAATAACACTGTCATATCATTATGAGTGCTTTAACCCTCATGTATGCAACACAGCCATCAAGAGGACATGGGAGCAAGTAAACACTAACACACACACATTACTCAGAATGCTGAGTCAGTACAATATGTGCCATGGTGATGTAATGAACACATCCATAAGTTTATTAAGCGCCTAATAAACTTTACCAACAGCACGGCATGCAGCGGCTTTCCCCATGTTCTCCTCATGGCCGACACTGTACAACAATGTACCACTCGCAGAACAGCTCAAGGCTGCATCCAGTGTGTGAGACATCAGTGCTCGGCTGCAGCGTGTGGTGTTCAATGTATGCTCCAGAAGGTCTGTAAATAAATGATTCCTTGTGGGCAGAATGGATAGCGCTTGTATCATGTGTCATCATGATCAGCGCTTGTGTCATCATGATGTGATAACGGATCTTGGCGATGTGGAAGAACTCTCTCCCTATAAAATGCTAATCTAACTGATATCGCTCCTTCATCAGTGGGATCTCTGAGGAAGGGAGCTGTACATTAATGCAATAGAGGCTTCTTAGTTTGCTCAGCTGGTTTTAATGGATCACCGTGTGTCTCACTTTACATGCATTTCCGGAACTCCCGTATAACCCCAGGTATATGCGCAAGCGCATTAGACTACCGTATATGACAGGAGCTGCCATGTTTTCCGGGGGAGTGGCAGCTTATCCAGCTACCCTCACTTAGCCTGGAGCAGGTTCAAGCTTATGGATGTGTTGCCATGGTGATTTTGCCAAACTTGCTTCGTGGAACCGAAAAGCCTGATCTACGTCATCTTATCCTGAAAAGTATCCGGCTAACTCAGTTAGCCACGTACGAGGAACAGGGCCCTGATCGAGAATCGTGTGCTATGACTTTTCTCAGAGATTCGCCCAGCTGTTTCCTCTAAAAACGCAAAAAACGGAGCAAAATTGCTCCATTCACTTGAATGGGGTTTCGGCGTGAAGAGAGCAAAAAAAACCACTTAACTTTGGGCCCATATTGAATAGCCATACATTACCGTAGAAAAATGATTCTTTTTTCGTTTAAAACGTAGACAAAACGCTGGACTTTATTGAGCTAAATGGACATTTTGATAGTTAGCATAGTTTTTATGAAGTCACAGTTTCAGGAAAATTTTGGGTCTGTTTGAGATTTTATAATGGGTGTGTATTGCATGGAATGTTCAGCGCTAGAGTGATAACATCACGGTCAGAGTGGAGCAGAGCAGGAAAATATTCTGTGATTTTTCCAAAGAAATTGCTTCCAGTCCCACAATTTTTACTCTTTGTACACCATTTGGTCAAAAAGCTTGGAAATCAAGTGTCTGTGGAATCCAACAGATTTACACATTTGGCTCAAAGAGCCGCAGAGTGACATGAACTCCAACCAACTGCTCCATTAGACTCCATGTTAAATCTCACCACTGATCTCTCAAAGAAAGCAGACGGTACCAGTTGTGTATATTGCTCTGGAGCTCACATTATTAACACCACAAACATAAAAAACACATTAGCTTGTTCGGCAGAGTCTTATCTTTCTCATGGCAACCAGTGACACACATGCACCCAAGCACACACACAAGACTTGGAGATATTCACGCATTCAGTCACATTATGATTGTGTCTCCTCTCCCCCTCTCTCACCCACCCAGTCCCACCCTTTCAAAATAAAAGCCACATGGAGTAACTGTATCTTAACATTAAGTTCAGAATGAGGTTCATGTTCAGAAATGTTAAGTTCAAGTCTTTCCATCACAAATATAGAAATGTAATTTCCAAAGGTACAGTATATATCTCAAATACAGATGTGTATCTCATTTCAAAAGGCATGTCATTTGCCCCAATCACCGTGGTAACCAGTGACACACACGTTGTCAACTATGTGTTTCTATGAAGCAACATCTGCTCTCAAGTTCAAGACTGTCCGTCAGGAATACAAGGTTCAATCCAAGAGTATGAATGAAATGAAGTATGAAAAGCGATACCTCCATTGAACCTCAACGATACTACTGGTAGTATAGGCGTGTGTATATATATTGCGACGTCTTCGGGCAGTAGAAGCCACACTGTCAAAATGTCTTGCGGAATTTTCTAGTTACAGATTAAGATAAATATAGATTATATTATTATAGTCTCTCTATCTTTCTCTCACCACCTGTCTGTCTCTCTTCGTTATTCTCACGACATGTCTCTCACCACCTTTCTGTCTCTCTATGTTTCTCTCACGACATGTCTCTCACCACCCGTCTGTCTCTCTATGTTTCTCTCACTACATGTCTCTCACCACC